CGATTGTTTTATCGTGAGTATGAATGCTCAATGCGCACAAGAATTACAATAACTCTTGTGAAAAGATAGGATGAGAAAAATAACTAGCTAGATGTACTGTAGACAAGACAAGATTTAATTCTAACTGTACTGTTGCAAGGTTTAAAACATAATGAAATTAATTTTACACAAATGTTTCACATCGGTAGGTATTTTAGAGAAGGGGTCAGATTGGTCTTTGGAGGGATAAACAAAGAAACAAAGGTTTGGATTAACATAGGTAGGAGAGATCATAATAGCGGGTAATTCCCAAGATAAGGGATACAAGGAATAATTAAGGAATTAAAAATGTACAGGTTGCTTGAGAAAAGATATTTGGGAATATTGAATTTTATGAGCATAAGTGGATTAGAAAGACCCGTAAATTTGAGACCAACTGGGAAACCCAGATTATGAATAATGAAAAATTAAATAACTTAAACAAGATTAGTTAACAATACATAAAATAAAAATAATTCCATAAAACATTCTGTTTTTTTGTACAAATTTTAGAGCTAGCAATCTAGGCTGAATACTAAAAAATTAAGATTCACTTGAAAAACATAATAATTTCGATAGTGAAATTTCGAGACCGAACATGCCGCCACCCTTGAACTGTCCAAGTTCAATAAAATGAAATAGAGCCGTTAATTGAAGGGTAGGGGGCAGAGTTTCTTAGTACAGCTTTTGTACTCGCCATTTTTTGTTTGTAGAGTCACTACACGCACAATGCCGTCTTCTCCTGGATGGATTGCAGTGATTCTTCCCATGGACCAAACAAATGGGGGTAGATTGTCTTCATGGATCAGAACCATATCTCCAACTTGAATCCTGCTAGTTGATTTTGAACGTTGATGCGAGCTAATAAGACTATTTAGATTTGAATTGAGGGGGTTATATTTTTAGGAGTGAATAATTTTTGGGAAAGAAAGTTTTTGGCTTTCTACTACTCCATCTTGATACAAAAAACATGGATGAGGGAATCTTCCACAGAAAGGAAGGAAGTAATCAATTTGAAAATAAGTAACTCTATACATGGATGTGTAGATCATGCAAAGAAGTAACTTTCAGACACAAACTGAAAGAAAGTCCTCCTGAAACAGCTACTTTCATATAAACATTGAATTACACGAAAGAAAAAAAAATCAAATAAGATTCCTCTTGCCTGGGATTAAATCAAATAGGTGAATGAATGACATTACGATGTCATCGATGACATAAGCAGATCAAGCGTATTCCGTGAGATTAAAAATCGTAATTCGTGAATGAACTGTGTGTATTTTCTATAATGTTATCCAATTTGGTACTGAAGAGCCTTGTGGCAAGTGTCTTAAGGCGAAACATCGGTGTATACCAGTAAGGGTGACAGTGTTCCATGTAAGTGCAATTTATTACCATTATTTAAAGTAGAACTCATGTGAATGATATCTGATTTTTATTCCACAACGAATATTTAAAATACAAACTGAGTAGAGAAAAGTATCTTCTGTATAATTCAGTGTTCATATAGAAGTATTTGTTTCGAAAGAATTTTTTCTTTCGTGTAATTCAATGTTTATATGAAAGTAGCTGTTTCAGTTTGTGTCTGAAAGTTACTTCTTTGCATGATCTACACATCCATGTATAGAGTTATTTATTTTAAAATTGATTACTTCCTTTCTTTCCGTGGAAGATTCCCTCATCCTTGTTTTTTGTATCAAGATGGAGTAGTAGAAAGCCAAAAACTTTCTTTCCCAACTATTTAGATATTCCTTATGCCAGCGATCCCAAAAGTTCTGCTTTAATTTCTGCGCATGTTACCAGGCAGACAATCGGTTAGATGGAGTGTTAGTGAAGTCAACCTCTGGACAGCTTATCAGTGGAGCACCAGTGAGAAAATGGCCGGCAGTCAAAGGCAAAAGGTCGTTTGGATCCCAAGATGAAGGGGATAAAGGACAATAGTTAAATATCGCTTCGATCTCAATTAAATATGTTTCTAATTGTTCATATGTAAGCAATGTATCTCCGACAGTGCTGAGTAAATGTTTTTTAAATGATTTGACTGCAGCTTCCCAAAGTCCTCTAAAATGTGGAGCTCGGGGTGGTATGAAATGCCAAGTGATACTTTCATTATCAAAATGTTGTTTTATAGCGGTTTGATAATCAGCTGAATCGAATAAGGCTTGCAGCTCACGGTCAGCGCCGACAAAGTCAGTGCCGTTGTCAGAAAATATTTCAAGAGACTTTTCTCTCCTAGCAAAAAATCGCTTGATAGTAGCTAAGAAAGCTTCCGTAGTAAGATCGGAAACAAGCTCTAAATGGAAAGCCTTAATGAACTGCAACGTAGACCTTGAGTTTATTCCGATTACGGAATCGCTTTTCTTTAATGTATAGTGGGCCACAGTAGTGGACACCCGTTTTAAAAAAAGGTGGCGAAGGCACAACGCGGTAGATCAGGAGTCAGGTAGAGGACCTGGCTTCTGATCAGCTGATCAGACGAGGTTTTGCCCGAACACAGGGAAGGCAACCATGAATAACCTTTCTTACGCTATTTCGCCTGTCAAGCGGCCAATAAGTTTGGCGAACTGAATATAAGGTTGCCTGAACCCCAGCATGCATGAGTCGCATGTGTTTCTCGCGGATGATAAGCCGAGTAATATGGTGATTAGCAGGCAAAAGTATAGGGTGAAGCTGATCTGAAGGTAAGGAGGACCGACGAAGTCTACCGCCTACTCTCAATATTCCTTGATCATCCAAATATGGACTTGAAGGGATTAATTTGCTAAAGTCCGGTAGAGATTCATTTTTCTTCAGGCAATTGATTTAGAAAGAATGACGATTGTGTGAGTCGCATAATGACGTTGTGAGCTACCGAAATCTCTGTTGGACTCAAAGCTCCTGAGTATTTGAGGGTTTTATGTTTTGTACAAAATGCAATAGATAAGCTACCACACATTTTAGTTTGCGAAAAGAACTGAAACATTCAACTAATGGAAACCCTTTTAATGAAATGCTCATACAAGTAACGGAATTATTTGCTATGGCTTTAAGTTCAGGGATAGTAATTTCAGATAATGCGCCTTTTGGCCATTCGTCTTTGTCCTGTAATAACCTAGAGGGGCCGTTAGGCCATATAGAACTAGTAATAAATCCAGAAGGTAATTTTCCGCGTGACACTAGATCTGCGGGATTGTCTTTAGAGAATAGATGTTGCCAATGACAGGTTTCGGTAAGCCTTTGTATATCAGCTACACGATTGGCTACAAAGGTTTTTAAGCGAAGCGGAGCAGTTTGCACACAATGTAATGCGATCGTGGAGTCGGACCACAAATAAATGTCAGTGGCGTCTATCAGAAGAGATTCCTTGACCATGATAAGTAAATTGGAAAGTAATACTGCACTGCATAGCTCTAAGCGAGGCAAGCTAACTGGGCTCATAGGAGTCACTCTTGATTTGGAGCATATTAGTTGTGTGTGCACAACTCCGTTTGAATCTGTTGAGCGTAAGTATAGGCAAGCTCCATAGGCCTTTCCACTTGCGTTAAGACACCAAGAAAAATGCAAAGTTTCAATTACAACAAATTGATATTCATAGGCAATCCACATGTCATGTATGCTCTGAGGAACGGACTCATTCCAGGAAAATCCAGCCTTCCAACAGAGTTGAATTATTATTTTTGCATAAACTATAACTGGCCCCAGAAGGCCTAAGGGATTGAAAAGCTTTGCGATTTGAGATAAGATGTTTCGTTTGGTGAGAGTTTTTAAAACAGTTGCATTAACCTTATAAAACAGTAAATCACTTTGAGAGTTCCAGTGGATACCGAGGGTTTTGACAAACGATTCAGGATCGAGGGACATATGAGTATTTTTTGGATGCTCAGAATGATTGGATACAAGAGACGGATGATTTGAAGCCCATTTTCGTAACTGAAAGCCACCTTTCTTTACTGAATCTTGTAGTTGATTGCGCAATAGCTCTGCTTCTGGCAGTGTTTTCGCACCTGTAAGAATATCATCCACATAGAAATCTCTTTTTAAAGATACAGAAGCAAGTGGATAGTGATGACCTTCGTCCTCAACTAGCTGCTGTAAAGATCGAATAGCTAGATGAGAGGCAGAAGCTGTGCCATATGTGACAGTTTCAAGAATATAAGTCTCAATCGGATTGCTAATACTTTCACGATAAAGAATATTTTGATATATCGCATCATCTGGATGTACACGAATTTGTCGGTACATTTTTTCAACATCGGCAGTAAGTGCATATAGATGCGAACGATAACGAAGCAAAATTACAAACAGATCATCTTGTAATTTAGAACCTACCATTAGAGTAGAAACGTAGAAACGACGTAAAGCAGTTGAATAAGATTCTCCGAGATTTTGCATTTTGTCATTAAACGGAAGCCTAACGACATATCGACCAGATTTATCTCGAGTAGTGTGAAATGAATAATGTACTTCACATGCCTTTTCTTCTGGGAATGAAATTTTTGATGAGGGAATTTCTTCGATTTCCCATAAGCGAGTAAGATCAGAATTAAATAGTTCTGCATGCAAGCCTAAGTGACAAGTTATGCGTCTAGTAGCGACAGGATTTTTAATTTCACCAGCTACGATCCAACCTAGTTGAGTTTTTTGAAGAACTGCATCTGGCTGGCCTTTTAATGAGAATTGGCCTATACTGAGTAATTTGTAGAATAATTTTACCCCTATAAGAACATCAATTTCAGAAGGTTTGAAGAATTCTGGATCAGCTAAGGGAATGTTTTTAGAAATGTCAAGTAGAGATTGATTCATTTGAATTGACGGCATGAAGGGGCTTATTTGAGGCACAATGAGAAATTCGACATCCTTTGCAAATTGTTACGAGATTTGATTGTTGCATAAGTAGATTGTTTTATATTTGTCGAGATATCATCAGGAGCGGAGACTGCAATGTTTACTGTTTTACGATTGAGATTTAAAAAACTTGCGACGCTCTCTGTAATAAAATGGGCCTGAGAGCCTGCGTCCATGAATACTCTACAAGTTCTAGATTTTCCGTACTTATTGACGATATCCACGATTGCATTAGGTAGAACTGCTTCAGAAGAAACCTGCACGGGCATATTTACACTTGAAGACGAGGCGAGATTTGTGTTTGAACACTCAGGAGAGTTGAACGTGCTTTCACGTTGATTTTGACGATGGGTTGGATTGGTCTGATTGTTATAATTGTTATTACTATTAGAGTTAGCGTAGTTTTCGTTGCGATTATTGTGATTATTATTGGAATTGTTGTGAATATTCTTTTTGTTATTATTTCGCGAATCAAAATGCAAAAGAGTGTTTTAGTTGACAGTTGCGACAATTAGTGGACGTGCACTCAGATGGACGATGCCCTTTGCGAAGGCAATTGATGCACCATCCTTCTTTTTTAGCATTTTCAAATCGCTGTGATGGATTGAGCGCGAAAAATTTCGGACAAAGATTAGTGAAGTGTTTTTCATTGCAATAGAGACACCGAATTGGCGATGTAGATGTTACATATGCCTTTTGAGATTGAGTATTAGGTCGAGAATTTGAGGTCTTGGAATGATTATTAGAATTGCCTGA